TCTCTTTCATATAAACTCCAAAGCACACAAAATTTTTACCAAAATCATAGTCAAAAATCTCAAATTGTTGATCTTAGCCTCCAAAGTTTGAATGACCTAAAAATAATAATCCTAATTCCTAATAAAGCCTTTGATAGCCTCCTTAAAGTCTATTGGGCATGATTTTTAGCCAATAGAAATGGAGATTTTTATCATTCATCTCCATTCATCTATATGGATGCTTTAACTTTTTTTTTTGCTACCAAAATCCCTCTCTAATCCTTTTTCTTATAAGTTCTATATAATATATGTCCTAAACATCAATTAAAAGAAAAAAAAATAAAACTTCAAGGATCACCAATATTTAACAAAGGTGACTCTAAATGTATAAAAGTTACTACCAATAAAACCAACTTCAAAAGCCATTATCAATAGAATATAAAGTTATATAAATTCTAATAGAAGCCCTTTTAAACAACTTTTTTTTGAGGTAGTAATCTATGCCCATCTTATAACCAACAAAATCCACTAATATGGCTCTCACCAGGTTATTTAGTATATTAGATATTAAATATACAAATACATTATTTTCATATAGTAGCCAAACCACAACACGACAACGTGTCTTTTCTTGAATTGTATAAGATAGTGAATATCTTGGGAAGAAGACAAATGCCACCTTCTATAGAAGTGGATAATAATCAAGAATTTGAGGTGGAAGAAGTCTTAGACTCAAGCTGTCGCCAAAATAGGTTAAAATTTCTTGTTCATTGACATGGATATGATATTAGTGAATGAACATGAAAGTCATCAAAGAATCTTGTAAATGCAATAAAGAGAGTTGAAGCCTTTCATCAACAACATCTATCAAAACCAAGATGAAGAATAGCAAATCTTTGCTAGAAAAGAAATAAGATCAAAGTAAGATAACACTCTATTTTCTATCTTTCTTTGTAGCTTCTGTGTAATTAACGAGATAGAAAATCAACAATTAGTAGATTCAACTCAAGAGCTTTCATTTGCGGACTTACTAGATGAGACATTTCAATTGTGACAACCTTCAAGATGACAAAATTGAGATGAAGATCCTCAAGAATAACATGCCATTCTTTGAATAGATGGTCAGATACAATGTGTTTGGTATCATGATCTTGGAAGAGACTTCCTATGTTTGGTGATTTTATTAGAGATAAGAATAACTCCTAACGGTGTTCCAAATATTTTATTTGAAGGAAGTTATGAAGGCCTCAACAATGATCAAATAACAGGGTGGTCTTTTTATCCTAGTATGAGATACTATCAATGGTTGAGAGGACCTATCAACCATCTTTGAAGAAAATAAAAATTGGAGTATGTGGCAAATATAATTTGATGCATCTTGGATTTCTTCAACATATGAAAACCACTCCTTATAGAACTCGTTCCAAGAAAGGGGAACACTGTCATGGACATATATAGGTATTCTAATAAATACTTATGTGATTAGGTAGGAATAGATAAAAGAAGATAAAAGTAGGTTAATTTCATAAGACCTTCCAGAGTGGCTTTTTAGAAGCTTCATAGATGCTGCTTTGACTTTACATGTGTTTGTAGTTGATTGAAAGGTTAGAAACTTGGTCAACAAGTTAACCACGTCTTGATAGCTTCAAGAATAAGCAAACTATGTGGCATACATATAAAATCTTGCCTTGCAAGTTAGGATACGTATCTTGCAAAGTCAACATGTTTTGGAGGTCCTATAGGACATTGCCATGTAGTTACTAGTTAAGAGTATATATGGAGGCAAGAGTGAAGCCTTCTTCATTCTTGTCAATGCCTTTTTAGTCTTTATTCTTATTTCAAGACTTTCTAGTATTCTTGTTTTTTACAATAGCCATTCTAGTTCAATATTATATCATCTTTGAGTAACTTTTTAGTTCCTTTAAGTGATACAAGAGTGTGTTGAGGATTTTCTTTCTTCAAGTTTCATGTCCTTGATACTTTCATGCTTACAAATCATCCCTAAGTTCCATTAGAGATCCTTTAAGTACCTTAAGTTTCTTCAATACATGAAACTACAAAGTTAGTCTATTAAAGATTTAATTCAATTAGAAAACATAATATAAATATTCTATAACATCACCTTAAGGTATAAAATATATACCAAATCTAAAATGCACTTAATAATAAGTAAGAGCAAACCAAGATCGAAATCTAAATCTTAATCTAAAAGTTAGGAGATTCTAAATCCTAACACCATCAAAAACAACATGATTTAGTCCACATAATAAGAAAGACTTCATATAATTTCAAAACTCATAAAAAAATGTGAATGGATCCAAAACATGTTGAAAAAAGATAATTTAGAAGCCACAACAATTAGCATTAACAAGGTTGTACACAAAAAGAAGTGAAGAATAAGATGACTCTCACTTCCAACACTCTTTACTTATGGCTGAAGTTTATATCTAGTATAGATGAACCTCATCTATAATTACTTTCATCTTACTTTACTACATCTAACTAAATCCTAAATTCTTCTTAACCTAGCTACCACCTAAAATCTTAGCTACTATTATAATAATTTATTTTAATCCTTTGCTATCTTTTAACTATTAACAACTTAATATAGTTTAATTCTATATGGTGGCAACTATGCAAGATCTTGTTGATCTTCAATAGACACGAAAGATAAATTTATATTGAAGTATTTTTAAATAAAATTTATTTACTTATTTTTTAAAATTATCATATAATTTGATAAATGTTGAATGATTATTAGTATTATTTTTTGATTTTAGAAAAAATAAAAGTATGTAATATTATTTTATAAAAATAATATATAATCAAGTATCACTATTTATAAGTAAAAAAATACTATAATTTCTTTAATATTATATACTTTAAACCAATTATTATAAAATATAAAAATATAGATTAAAATAATAATTTATTTTATCTTTTTAATCTATATATAATTTTTTTATAATAATAAATTTATTCAAATGATATTTTTTAGAAAATATAATAGATAATTTAATATTATTATTTAAATATAAAATATTTTAATAAATATTTTAATATTGAAGATAACAAAGATACTATCTTATAAAATAATATGTACATATTAAAAATATAGATGGTATTAAAAATTATTTTATGTTCATACTTAAAATTAAAATAAAATTTATAAAAATAAAAATAAAAAAAGAACATATTTAAAATATAAAATATACTAATATTATTGAATGAGATATAAGAATTAAAAGTATTATTATATATGTGTATATATTTTTTTATTAATATAGTCAAAACATAAATTCTAACATGGTTTTTTTTCCTTTGTATATAACTATTTAATATTATATGTATTACAAAAAATACTAATATTATTTTTTATTTTTTAATAATTTTTTAAAGAAAAAAATATATATAATTCCAATTTTAAGATATATTTTTCTAACATATATTATTATTCAAAAATAATAAAAATAAAAAAGTCTATATCTTGATTTTTTAAGTTTTATAAAAATAATGAAGTAATCCAATTATTTATATTAAAAAAACATATTATTATAATATAGTACTTTTACATATATTAAATTTATTAAAAATCATACACCAATGTACAATTAACTAATATAGATTATTATTTTTTAAAGAATTTATAAATTTATAAGCATGAAAATTGTAGACTTTAGGAATAAAAAACAGTTATAAATAATGATATTTATTAAAATATTAAATTTTTTATAATAAAAAAACCTATTTAGATTTAAAATATTAGTAAAAATAATCAATAAATTTTTTTAGCACAAATTGACGGCAATTTCTTTAAAGATTTAGCAAGTTTGTAAAGTACCTTTGAGATAGAAATTCTAGATCTTATTTATCTTAGAGCATTCTTGTAATTGATTTAGGTCAATACACAAAGATTCATATTATCTTTACTTACTTATTTATTTATTATTTATTTATTGTTCCATTAAAAGACTCATGTATGATTACAAAAAACTTAAATGTTATTTTTAATACTTATGAATAAACTTTTTGATTATATTTAAATATTTAATTACTAAATATAGAATTTAATAATTATTTTTTAAATATATCACTTGTATCTAATCTTTAAATATGACTTTTGTATGAATGGTTTTTTGCTTTTTTTTTCAAATGTGTTTTAGGTTTATTTTTATGAATCTTTCTTTAAATTACTTAATTCTTAAAAAAATCTAAGAGAAAATTTTTTAAATCTAAAAATTAAATATAACAAACCCATTTTATTTCCTTCTTCATTAAAACTATAATCAATTCACATTTATCCCACTTGTCACTAATCTATTACACCATATCAAAAAATATGTCTACAATATATCTACAATACATCAAAAATATATATATGATTTATTTATAATATACTTTTTAAAATACAAAAACATATTACATATCACATCATTTTATTCTATTTAAACAAAGCCATATAATTAACTATTCAATTAGTGTATTATATATTAAAATGCATTGTACCATGCATACTATTTCTTTGCAATAAAATATTATATTTATTTATAATATTTTTTGTGAATTGTTAAACTGACCCAAGTATTTACTAAATTGATCCACCCATCCTAACCATTATCACATACTTCTCCACTTCTAGATCTGCATTGGTTAAAAACCAATAAAAAAAAAATGGTTGGATCCTCAACCAATAACAAGGGGTGGGTTGATTTAGTAAATACATGTGTCAATTTAACAATTCTCTATTTAAAAATAAATAAATAAATAAAACTATGATTATTCTTAAACATGCACGCAAGAGTGTGTTTACATATAATGTGAACCTCATGTTGCAATACATTCAATACAATTCATTTAATTGAATCTCCTCGATAATGACCACGCCACACACAACGAAAGTAAAAGGCATTTAAAAGTAACAGGCATGTAAAGTTTCTTTTTTAAAAAAAGTAGAAAAAGGTACTTTCTGGCAAGTTAACAAAGTGTATAAGGGTCGCCATAAAACCTGGAGATGTTGGCGAGGGACTTAGTCTGAAATAACTATGGCTATGGCCGTCATAGGCACGAAGACCTTCTTCAAGGAGACTCCTCCGTGACTTTGTACAAACAAGTTTGAGCTCTGGAGTCGAATCCTAGCTGCTGCATTGATTCATCGCACTGAACGTGCGATTTCGACTTCTCTCTATGAAAATTCTATGAAAAGCAATCGAGATAGAATATCAATCCACCAGACTTCATAGCCCGAAACTGTAGAAAAGTGGCGGGTCTCTGAGCGATCGGACGAGTTGAAAGAGCTTTTCCTAAGTAGAGGTTTGGGAAGATTGCGACGCAACGGGATTATTCTGATCGGAGCACGGTTGCGAACGGCGGAGCAGTGATTTGAGGGAATTGTCAGAGGACTTGACGTTAGGAGATATATATATATATATATATATATATATTGGTGTTAGCAGTTGAGCTTAGCGGTAGCAATGGGGAACGACGGTGAGAAAAAATTGAGGTACGAGGATTTATGGGAGACTCTGAACATTGCGAGCCGCGGCGCCTTGGTAGCGGTTTCTGAAAATGTACATCCACGACGCTGAGTTTCTTAAGTTTCATCTTTGGAGTGATGATTCGTGAGGGGGGTTTGAGAGCTGAATACATCTGGGGTCTGTTTTTGCCTCTGCGATATGCTTGCGTCGAATACTTGATTTATGTTTACTTTGTGTCTTCTTAAGCGTGCAGGAATTTGAAAAATGCTTTCCGGAATTCACGAATGAGCAAAAAGAGAAGCTCTTCCTCATTTACACCCGGGTACGAAGCTTGCCATAGACAATTTGTACGGTTTCTACTTCGTTCAATTCTTCGAGCTTATATTGTACTCAAGCTTCCTCCTCGTGTTTTAGGTTTGCAGCGCTTTTAGACTCGTTATTGATCATCTCTGCATTGTTTTCACTTCTCTGATTATACACACCTTTTCGCATAGCAGGTAGTGGCAAAGCTTCAAGAAGATGTGATGGTAGGGAAATTTCCAACTTTTCTTTTGTTCGTCAAACCTTCAGAGGTTGGCGGTTGAGTGATGTATGCACTTCTTCCAAGTCCCTCTCGGAAAGAAAGTTCACATTGGGTTCATATGTTCAGTATCGTGTACTGTTGGGATTGGTTTTAAACTTCGAGGGAATCTCAAGCCCACCAAAGATGCGCGGACGAGCTGCATTAAGGAGATGCATCTTCTTTTTTTAATTATCGGACCCCCTCGATTCTTGATTTTGTATCCTTTAAATTACACTGTTCACTCATTATAATGCTAAATGGACAACTATGATGTCATGAATTCTGTTGGCGCCAATGTTGGTTGTTACAGTTGGAGTTCAAACCCCTATGCGAAGCTTGGGAGGTATGCATTCATCTCCGAACTCAGGCTTGAATTAGAAGCTTGACCTTACCAAAGTTGTTTCATCGTTTCCTTGAGATTCGAGTAAGGCATGCATCCTGTATTGACCGAACATTACGTATCAATCAGCTAAAAGAGGTGCTTGAGGAATTGGAGGAACTCATAGAGCGTCACGAGTTAGGTGATGTCTTAACTTCCAGGTATGATTCTCCTTCGCTGGAATTTCTGTCGTCTTTGGAGGCTATCGGATGTTGTTCGACATTACATTGCTGGAACATTCAAGGTTTCTTTCTAATTACCACATGATTCGATTGTTGTGGAAGAACGTGTTGTTTCGCAGTATTTGTCTGAACTAAGTTGTGTGAACAGTTCTTAAAAATGCTCGTAAAAAAAGTGGCAGCTTGCGTAATCATTTGAGATGAAGGTCGAACTTCCGAATAAAATTTGGAGCACGTTTATTTTTTGAAAAATCCATTTCGTAAGTGACTACACAACTTCTTTGGGCAGGTCTGCGCCTCTTACTGATGCCGTGCGTGCAATGACAACCAAAATCAAGCAAGAGGAAGTCGACAAACTTAAGCTCCTGGTTCAGCAGGTTCGTTTTAAATTCGTCCAATATTCGCGGAACGTCCGTTAAGTTTTGACCAGCTTTTGTTTACTTATGTCTTATTTTGAAGGTTTCAAGTGCCTTCTCTTTTTTCTTTTTTTTTTCTTTTTTTTTCTTTTTTTTTTTCTTTTTTTTGCTTGTAAAGAGTTTATAGAAGGCATCTCCAGCATTTTGACATACCTTGTGCTCAACGTTGCGCCACTGCTACATTTTTGACAGGAGGAAGAGCACGTTGCCCAGCTCAGACTGCAACGAGAGGCGCTGCAAGCGAAAGCCCGCGAGGAACCGACAGCTCTTGCAGCCACGCTTGGCAAGGTACATTTGAATCGTGTAAATAGTTACCTTTCATAATTGAGATTGTGTAACAAAAGCCTTGAATAGCAGAGTTGAGGTATGTTGAATGTGCTTGTCCAAGAAATAGACTTGCGTGGAGAGGATCGGACTATATATTTTTCGCTGTGCCGTTTGGCGAAGTTCTGTGTGATGTTATTTAAGGAATATGTGATACTGTGCGATGCAGGTTCGCAGGGAACGAGTGGAATTAAGTTTGTAGCGTAGTGGAGCCTTTGTTGAGAAGATGGAGCGAAATAAGAATGTGTTGGGTAGCAGTTTAACTTGTAAGAGCTAGTGAGAACTTTGTGGACTGCCTTCGTCATTATGATCTGGCTTGTTGACCTAAATTTTTCCACGGATGCATTGTTTGAGTTTGTCACAAGCTTAGTGCCTTGAATCGAGGGTTGACTTTGAATTTCATAGGATGCGCCTCATTCGGTTACAGGGCGTGGAAGAGCTATGATGTTGAACAATTCCACATAATACTTACCTTGCAGTTATTCAACAAGTCTTACATGTCCTCTGCTAGAAGGTTGAATCCTCTCTCCTCACATTTATCATATATGCCAGTGTTCTTCCGCAAGCTTCTTAATCCCTATTAGATTTTTTCGAATTAACCAGTTAAAAGTTCCAGCTAGCGGGGCCGGAAATTGCTCAAAATTACTCGTCCAGTCCTGGTCAACACAATCACTTCGTGGGGGCTCGACAGGTGCTTTTCAAAAGCGGTAACGACCTCCCGCAACCTGCTTGCTCTCAGAAGCAGTCATTGTGAATCGGTTGATGATACAGCTTTCCAATCATGAAATTTATAATCATCGCTGACATGAACAAGATCTATCAACCTTGAAACAAAAGAAGGGAACAGTTAGAAACTCTTCATGAACCGGACGTAGCGGTGTTAAAATACCACTTCAGCTGCATGGGTGGGTCTACTAACATGCACTTACTTCACAAAAAGTATCAACGCCAAGCCAGGTAGTTGCCACACGAGATTGTTCTTGACATATGGTCTGAAGCGCAACGAGCTGTTCCCCAGCGTATCGGCATCAAGACATATAAATTTGCTGGTCGAAATTCCAATCGACACATATTGAAGAGCTGCCCCCATCAGCAAATACACACTTGGGCTTTCAAAGATGCTGTGGAATCGTGTGATGTGGTAAGGATTGTAACTGCCAGAGAGTGACTAGCTGCCCCAGCCTTGTGAATATCCTGTCAATCTCCCTCTCCTACACTCTATCCAGAAAGTGTTCAATCAATGTGCACGGACTCATGTTAACATGATTAACGTTAAATTCTTGCTGAACTGAGAAGGCGCTGCAAGCCACCCTTGGTACGTGGAATCTGATTTGACGCAAAGTACTCATACACCATGGTCATCTCGACATAATATCGATGCTGTGCATTGTAAGCACAAATGAACGCGACATGCAAATGAGCTGGGTTTAATTCCTATCCAGAATGTATTCTAAGGCGCTGGACATGGAGAAAAAGGAGAAATAATACTTCCGTGTTATGAGCAATTGCAGTACTCTAAAAGCATCTTGGTCGAGCTCCTAGGATCTACGACAACCTCCAGGCACAGAATTCTTCTGAATTGAAGAATTTGTACCTTGACAGTTTGGACAAACAAAAAGGCGCAGAATACTGGTTTACTTAGAGACAAGGGCTCACAAATTACAATATGAGGAATAGTTGCGATTGCTGATAAGAATGTCCAACTTCCACAACAGAGAACTAGATTTCAACGGAACGGAAATTTCTCAATCTGAGATCTGTACCTCATTGGCAAAAATTGGCAAAGTCAAATCGCATGACCTCACCAGCAATCTCGGGGCGCCATTGAAACCATGACCACAACTGGCCCAAGCACTCAATCAACAAACCGGCGTTCAATTCTTAAACTAATGCTCCTGATTTCTTGCTTGTAGCTAAAGAATCATTCGCAAGTTCGCCACCACATGTTTCAAGTTCAAAGGGAGCACAATCAAAATGCTGCAGACATGATGCGATCAGTGATTCGCATTCTGCTTGTCGATGGGTCAACAAATCAGCTGATAACAACCTGCACGGACACCAAATGACGGATGTGACCTTCAAAAGTCCAGGTGAATGCGAGACCTATTTTGAAACTAGATTTGTTTCCTAAAGGACAATGTATAAGGAATCATTCTGCTACAAGGAGGAACAAATCAGCAAGGATCTAAGGAAGGCAGTAAATTAGGTTTAGATATCGTTGGAACCCAAAATTCCAAGTTGATTAATCCGAGTTTCGAGATCATGAAGGCTAATAGACCATAAATGCTAATCTGAAAATGGCATTCGCGGATTGTGCGAGACGTGCACTTGAAAACGGTTTGAGAATTGAAATTTCGAGGTTATGGATTTTCCGTAATTAGGGGGGGGGATAAAATAAAATAAAATAAAAACGAAGAATAGAAGACGGAATAGAACAGAAGGGACAGGTTCAAACCTGAATCTTTCTGGTAAACAGAAAACCTAATTTATGAAAGTTAGATGAGCGTCTATCATTGGATGCGCCTCTACACAACCTCTACACAAATCCAGACTTGATTTCTATCTCGAAGCAGCAGAATTGAGCTCTTTAATTCGCCGAAGAACAACCGCAGTGACCTTTGGTGTAGTACAATGCATATCCAATGCTGCATACACTACAGTCGCCAGTTGATCGCAAATTCTTCTTCAATGTGAGGCGTTGGAATCCCGGTAACCAAGCCCACGACACTTGGGGTTAGGTGAGTTCCATTGCTACTGTCGAGATTAGGGTTGAATGAGTGAAATCAAACAGACACATGGAACTTAAGTATTTCTTCACCAAACCCTCTCTCTCTCTCTCTCTCTCTCTCGCTGTTTTTATTCGTGCTCTTTTATTTAAATATATAGATATATATATATATATATATATATATGAATGTTAAACTTTCCATACGCCATCGAGTTTTGTTTATATTTAGAAACCCGATTCCCGAATGTACTGTGCTGCACGGGGAAGAAGTGGGAACAAACCTGCCAAACGGCCTGGTAACAGTGCTACAACCCTATTTTGCTCTGCTTTTGAGGAGGTGATGGCAACACTGGCTTTCACAGGGGATCATCAAAGCCCTCTGACACTACAAGTTTATTGCCCTCTGCCTTGTCCATTTCCCATCAATCATGGAGCACCAAGTGGTATATGTTGTTGTGGGGTCATTCACAAATTGATCCTAACAACTTCCAGGCCTATTTGCGGTCAAAGAAAGATCCTGCCCCTTCAAGGAAAGTCAATCAAGTGGCAAGAAATATGAAAAGTCATGAATATAACGGGGCTGGCAGTTACAAAACAGGATATCAGCTCTCTCACTGCACCCTCACCGGCAAAAATAAATAAATATGAGCTCTCATTCATAGCCATTTTCATCTATACTCTAGTATTGAATTCATAATCTTTCTGACAGGCATTGAAAGTCCTTATTTCTTATAAGTGGCCAACAGATACATATATATATATATATATATAGATGAAAGTAGAGGAATGGACGTGTGGATAGTAGGATGAATAATGAAGCCCTTGGACCGTGCACTTTAATACTGTTTGCATGGCTTCTCTGCCCCCATTTTATTCAGTTGGACCCCACCTCGATTCGTTCCCTACCGTTCCCTGATCCCAGTTCCCAATGTTCCCTTAACGGTTCCCTGACCTCTTCTGGGACTTACTTTGAATAACGTGTTCATGATCCTCAACCGCACAGACCAAAGTTTTTTTTATTACTAATATTCCATTTTTGAAAATTTGGCAAAATTCGTGCTATGCCTTTGTGTGGATATTCCTTCCTTAGACATGTTTGAAAATTATTAATAAATTGATATTAAATACGTGTATATTATATATATGTATATATATATATATATATATATATATATAGCAAAACGATCCTGAAAATTTTAGATGATTTGAATCTCTTGTCAAATTTTCATAATCAAATCATAAAAGTGTAAAACCGCTCATTCTTTAACAAAACACTCTTTTTCTTTTTTAATATATATATATATATATATATGCATACACACACACACAAGGTGTAAGAAATGAATCACTTAGTTGCCAAAGCTTTTTAGATTGGAGTATTGCAGAATGTCCTGCCTTTGGAGTTGTACAAAACCAAAACTGTGTGAGTGATTCTTTTTATTCCTTGACTCTTTATAGTTGTGAAAATTACAATAAATTAAAAATGAGGTTATGATAATAGGCATCATCCCCATGTTCCTTCCAGAATGTGCCGAATTGAGAATGTCACAGGCCATGGAGTTTACTGTGTATTTGGGGGGTGAGATTCCTCTGGAAGGTTCCACAATTGTCCATGAAAGTTACAAAATGTCTTCTCAAAATCTGGGGCCTGCCCTAATTCCACAACACGTTTCTTATTCTACAAAATGAGTGTATTGTAGCAACCAATGCAAATGGGGGGAGTGCCGAGGAGGATTGCGCTCAATGTTGACCCCTTCTCTAGTTTTTTCTAACATTTGTTGGGCTAGAACATAAAAGCATTGCAAGTACGACATGAGAGACTACCACTTTAGTTATGGAGGATTCAACATGTGTTATGAGGAGCTTTGGGTTTAAATATAAATTTATGCATCAATTAAAGGCCCAAAGAACTCTTTTCTTTTCTTTTTTTTTTGTTTCTTTTAATTGTTATTATTCATTTTTTTTGTCTTGTTCCACAACATGAAGACATGGAATGGTACAAGTTACCACCAACAAACAGCAGCTGTGCAATGTCAATCAGGAGAGCAATGTTGACCACACATTTTGGTTACAAATCTTGTATTTATATTTAATAGAAATTGCATATATGTACAAGCAATCTTTTGATGACACATTTTACTCAATATTGTATATTTATTAATTATTTCGATTTTTCAAAGAAACAATTGGATTTGGTTTGCCAATTTTCATATGTAGTCTCTCTCTATGTGTATATAGCCATGTATTAAGACTATTAGTAAATGAGATTTCCTTCTGTTTCTGTTAATTTTTTCATTAAAAATCAATAATGTTTTAATAAAGATTTAAAAATAACATGCATACTCAAAGAAAAAAAATAAAAATATATACATTTCTATTAACAAAAAAAAAAACAGGAACAAAACAAAAAAAATATTTGTGTAGTGTTGAAAAATTAAAAATTAAATAGCACTCCATTATTATTATTATTATTATTATTATGAATTCTCTTATTTCTATCAGCCAAGGGAAAAGCATTTTGTGTAAGCTACAACAATAATGAATTAATTAGAATGAATTAACACAGATGTGTTAGGAGTCTTATAACATTATGAGTATTTGATACATATGCCTTTAATCGTACAAATTCTGAACTAAGATTTTATATATGTATATATATATATATATATATAGAAACATAAACATAAAGCCTGGGTTGGGAATTCTGCATGAATCAACCATAAAGTTTGAGGAAGCTCAACATGAATGGAAAGGATGGATGGAACGAATTAATGAATGAATGAAAGAGTACATATACATATATATATATATATATATATATGTATAGATAAATAGATTGGGAAAAAGCCCTTCATAGAAAACTATTAAAATGAATCTTGTGAGTGGCATGGTGAGGAAGAATCTAGAATTCATATCCTCACTATAGCCTTTTGAAAAGATAATATATTTAATGGATGGATGTACACATGCACCACGACTTTCATCCGTCCATCCATTCATCCAGTGATCAATCAGCTCATTTGCTATTAACGTTATTCAATTTTACCATTGATCGCATCGTCACCTTTATTGACCTTTCAACATGCCTAATCCCTTCAACACAATAGACCTAAACAATAAAATATTAAATTAATAAATTAATAAATACATACATAAATATTTAAAATAATAATAATAAAGTAAAGGTCTGAAACCAGGCATTTTTCAGGTTCTGCTCAAATTCTGAAGCAAGGCATAAAATTTTCTTCGATAACATAGTTGAGTAGAATGAGCTTTCCCACATCTTTTGAGGGTGAGACTCACAAAATCCTCAACCGGAAGAAGGTTTTTTGAGACACAAGGGAGGTATTATTAAATCATCTTTTTGATGGTTACTGAGGATAACACAAGTGGAATTCATTCAAAGGTTCATCCTTCAACTGTACAAATCCAATTTGTATGTTTGTGACATTCTGTTCCCTTTTATATATATATATATATATATATATATATATATCTATTGATTTTCCACTTTGTTAAAATTTAAATGTCTGATTATTTTGCAATTGCAACAATTTAGGAATTTCGTTTAAAATTTGATCAGGTAATTGTTGCTCCTTAATCTATTCTCTTCCTTTTCGCCTTGGGTTCTAATTAAGCCAACCAACTGCAGGCACTCAAAAACACAACACAAAATAATTATAGTCAACAAATTTCTATAAAATAGACAATGAAACAAATATCACAGTCCTGTTGTTCTGAGGAATGTTTTGTTTCTGGCCATGTCTCTATGATTTTTGGAATATACTGGAAGGTGACATAAAAGAAGTTGATTTCATGAGATGGGGCTTTCTGAAGAATCTTTAGTTGAGCAAACTCCAAATTTGAGATGAATACTGGACTAAATTAAATAGAAAAAAATTATCTTAGTCTGAAATTATATCTTGCATACCATTTTAACATTTTTACTGTTTCTTTTAAATACTGGTTCATCTGTTTGTATGTGTGTGCATATATTAAAATATTACGTTTTTTTTTCTAATATGGACATGTTTTAAATATATATATATATATATATATATATATAATTGCGGATTGAGCTCAAGAGTACCATAGACAGAAAATATTATACAATAAGAATCCACTTAATAAAAAAATGGGCTTGTATAAGGTGGCTTTTGGTCTTAAATGAATCATAGCCTTTTTAGATTGAATTGCAAAACCAAAATCAATATGAATAGGGAATTGTTAAATTGACCCAGGCATTTACTATATTTATCCATCCATCATTGGTTGAGGATCCAACCTTTTTGTCATTTTTTTTTTTTTTTTTTTTTTTTTTTTTGTAAATGTGGATCTAGCAGTAAAGAAATTTTTGATGATGGTTACGATGTGTGGATCAATTAAGTTAATGTCTGGGTTGATTTAACAATTTCTTATAAATAATGTGAGATTAAATATTGATGAATAGTAGATTTTCAATGGCATTCAAGTGGTGTTGAGATTGAAAACCGACTACTTGTACAAGAGATTGTATGAGTTAATAAAATGTTTTGCCTTAGTCTTTGAGTTCTCATCTCAAGAGGAAGGTGTTGACAAGGACATGCATATAAAACATTTGATAGAATTGCCTGAAATCTATTCCATGGATAAAGAAGAAAAATTGTTCTTGGAGATTGCAAACACTTCATGCGTAAGAACAAGCTTCCAAACTAATCAGCAAAGGATTAATTAACTCCCTTGCGTGCCAATAATAATCATAATAATAACAACAACAATAGAGTAGCTCATGTGGGTTGGGGTGGTGGTATCATAGTAATGAAGGACGAGATGGGTTTGAGGATTTCCTAGTGTCTACAAGTTCAGCAACTATGTTTTAGGGTTATCAATGCCCTACTTTTGGGCCATAAAAATTAAATTAACTTAAATTAGATGATATAGATGGGTGGGATAAGCGAGGAGTATTAGATGTATATGTGGCAACAAGCGCAATCACTGAAGGAGTCAAGCAAATTCAGTTGAAATTTGTGTCCCATTCCATTGCATGAGTTCTTAGACCATGTGTTTTTGGTGACAAATGGATGAATGTTTTGATGAATTAATGGATGAACGTGTGTATTAATGGATGGATGTGTACCATGGTGGAGGACAAGGCTGATAGAAAGCAAAAGCTCGGAGGAGGACTGGGCTGGTATCCACCAGAACCCTAAAAACCAGACTGCGACAGTTTTAGCAGAAGAATTCAACCCCACATGCACAGAACCAAACCCAGAGATTACATAGAATAGATCCAGGGAACTCTTAAGACGAGTCAAAACAAACCCATGTTCTAATCTAAGCAACATTCTCATTGAAAACCAACAGCTTGTGAAACCCTAATTTTACATCTTTTTTATTTTGTTCATTCCGTGACTGTTTTTTAAAGAAGTGTCTTCTTTGATTAGCAACTGAACACCCAATGGCAACGAAGCTTTTGTTGACCAAGCCATTGCCACATTGGACATGCAATTCTTTAAAAAGGAGAGGGGATTGCTAAACTCAGTGTTGCCAGCAAAGATGGACCAGCCTTTAGCAATGGCCCCTCGCTCATCTTTTGCTCAAATATAGAAACATCTGCACACAGAGAATGATACTGATGTGATTTTTTCACACAAATAGAAAGCAACAGTGAATTGTAGAAAAGGACACAAATGGAAGAGAAATGCCAATGAATTAGAAAAGGCCAGGTGATTAATAAATGCTCAGTGTGGTCATACAAATATGACATTCACCACCAAATATGGCATTGTGTTCAAACTGTCTTACCTTTATAAAACACCATTTTCACATGGTATGTCTTGGCTCTTCTTCTTCTCTTTCTTTTGTATGTGGGGATTTTCATGGGTAACTGGTTCACAATGTTTTTCTACAACATGTATATATATATATATATATATATATATTATTATGGAAAAGGATGGTTGCTCCCTGACAATAACACTTTATAGAGGGAGGTTACCTTTACTGTGTTTTGAAAGCAGAAAGATGAACCTTTGTGATTCAGTTAATTGTCCCAGTGTATGTGTAGATCTTATCTTATCTTTTTTCTTTTTTCTCTT